ACCTCGGCTACTGACGCAGAGAAATGACAGAACATATGATAAGTACGAGCCTTCCCGCCAGTATTATAATCACTGCAGTAATTGAACAGTATGGCAAGTGATGGATTTATGTTTTTTTACCTTATTTTGTTTAGAGATAGTGCGCGACCGGCGCGCTCACTGCTACCGATGCGCGATGCGCGCGAAACGTAGCTAAAATTACATGTGCGTGTAACACTATCGAGTCTATCGTTCTATTTTGGAATTAGTGCTCCACGGCGCCACCTACCGCGGGAACTCGTAACATACTCGTAAACTTTACCCGATTATTATCGATCGTTAAAACACGTTATAGGAAGTGTTTCTTTTCACGTTTCATTGTTATTGTCGGTTAAATGTTATCGACACTATTGGAGTGTGTGCACCTGCTGCGTGTCACTATTGTACGGTTATCACATATTCTAAATTCACGAGAAGCTCGTCCAATTATTCTGATGTAAAGATGACCCTTTTATAGAACATGTACTTAAGTATTACGGGGAAATGCATCAAGGAAAATGGGGGAAACTTTTCTACGGCACCTAACTTTCTCTGAGAGGCTCTCTAAGAATAAAGTGCAGAACTATGATTGACAGAGACTAACGAGCGGCTTGTCAGAGACATCCTGAAGCTTACCGGGGCAATATGCCCTCATAAGTAGGATGTGTATACATAGTACATAGAGTGCGCCCATAAACATTATACTTTATATGACGTAATTACCTAACTAACATGAAGAAAATCAAGTTATAAATGTGAGATACTGTTACTGTTGTTTTTAAGTGCCATGCTTCGGCACGAATGGGCCGGCTCGACCGGAGTGATACCCCGCCCTCACAGAAAACCGACGTGAAGCAACGCTTGCGTTGTGTTTCGTCGTGTGAGTAAGGTTACCGGAGGCCCAATCACCCTCCCCTTCCCCAATATCCGCAATTCCTGAATCCCCAACGATCCTCATCAAAATCCTAATCCCCAAAAGGCCAGTAACGCACTTGTAACGCCTCTGGTGTTCCAGGTGTCCATGGGCGACGCCGATTGCTTACCATCAGGTGATCCGTCTACTCGTTTACCGGCTTATGCCATAAAAAAACCGCTATCGCTGTAAATACCTCTTTACTCCACTGTATATGTACAAACGCTATGTATAAAGGCTTTAAATTATTTATGTATTCGGCACCTATAGATAAGTATAAGTATTATATATAATTATTGTTTTTAGATAATCGCTGACACCGTTTCAGGAGATGCCAGAGATAAGAGGTATACACATCAAAGTAATTTGTCGGCAGGTGATAAAGTAGCTAAAGCCCATCCTTATACATTCCCATTTGATATGTTAACTCCTTATAATTCAGTAAGAGCAATATTTAAGTAGCACTCAAGTACGTATTGTTGCTAAAAGATTTTTCTCAGGCGAGATTTTAATTTAAAGCACTTCTTTTGTAATGAAATTGTGAATGAAGTGTAGTGTTAATTACGTATAGCTGGTTGTTACGTAATTAGCTCAGAAGCCAAACACTCGGTGGGGAGTTTGAGTGCCATTTCTGAGGGAGAATTAACTTCATTTGCTTTTATTTATTACGTACAAAGCAAAGGTTGTATTTGTGGCTAAAGCATGCACTGGTGAATATGGCCCTCGAGCTGGTCTCAACGACTTTATGCGACATTCGGTATGAATTTATATTATGTAATTTTTCTCACAAGAACCTTAATACCTAAGTATTGTACTGTGGGTGGATTCTTATGTTACATATGAGTTAATTAATACTGCGGTCCTTAGCTTTGTTTTTCTTATACATTATGTGGTAGTTTAGAAAATATCTGATATTTTCGTTGTCCAGAATAGTTGTCACCCGATCCGATAGCTATAGGGGATAATAATTAGCCACCGACATATTCGATTGTTATGACTATTCTGTTAACGATACACCCACATATTGTGTTCGAATGTTATTACAGAGGTATTATTGTTTAATAAAACCTATTTGAGTAGAAAAAATCCGATTGATTCCATTTGTAGTGGAGTTGATTTGAAAACTTGTCTAAAGCACGTTAATCTTCATTATGAACATCACGAAAGAGTTATAAAAATATTATAAATTGTGGCATCACGGAGTATAGAAAGAAATCCCTTTCTTTTGCCAGAAGTGCATTAATAGTGTTTTGTGTAAATAGAATCAGAGTATATATAATAAAGAGATATCGTTGACATTGTGAGTAATTGTGCAAGCGTAAGTCACAAGACATTTTTTACCCGGTATCGTCGTGTGTATGCTAATTGACTGTCAGTCCGTCAGTCACACCGCAGTTACTAAATAGGCACTAGCCACTGCCAGAACCGTTGGGTTAGACTCCCGCAGTAGTGGTATGTGGGGCTACCCTCACTAATTGGTTAATTCTATTAGCCACGTAAGTACTTACAGTCACTGTAGTATATTTAGCTATTTGGCCCCTTTGCCATATATTTTGATTCGGTACACGAACCTAATGGAAAATATTAAGCGAGGTGGATAACCAATTTCCACGATTTTAATGTTATTTATTTTAATGTAGTTCAAGGATTTCGAGGCTTATTTGTCTCCAAAGATTTTTGGCAAATACTACTTCAAGTTATTTTTAGACGGACTTCAAAGCTAACTACGGAACAAATGGAGGCAGGTCCAATAATTCTTGAGGGAATTTTCTCTTCAAATTAATAAGAAATGTTTTCAATAACTTCGTAAGTTGCTATTTCAATACAAATTTCGGCTGTTACCAACCACTGCGGCCTAATCATATTCCAGAATTAGTTAGTTAATATTACACAAACGTCGGTAATTGTTCAAATAATTTACTTTTATGTAAACTGCTAGTGAAAGTTCCGAGGGCGTTCCATTAAAATTCTCAGTAAACTCAAAGCATTATCATAAAAGTAAATATTCAATCATAAACAACCACCGCTTAAGTATTTAAATTGCGTTGGAAGATATTATGAAACAAGCCATTCCGCCCTGCCTCGTCTGAGGTTGAAGACATCTACTTCCTGAGTTCCTGTGTAATTCCTAACGTCAAGCTATACGAGTCCTCGGCCATCGTTTCATTGCAAAAGACTTTCTATTTAGCTGTAATAATAATAGTTATCCTTTGTTCTCAAACGAGTACACAATTTCCTAAGACTCGGATTAAAGGACGTCTTTGAGTCGCGCTGTCTCGACGATGTTATAGTTATGACAACAGTTCCAACATAGAATAACAGGGAAGTTGTTTGAAGCTTTCAAAGTATTGGGAAAATATGTGGCTACTGTATTCATTACCGTGGCGGACAATAGCTGGTGATGTCGTACGAGTGGCGTGAGGCGAGCGTGACCAACACGACTGTTCACATGTGAACTACTTGGACACGCCGCGTTACTTGCCTACGCGAGACCTTCAAACTGGTCTCTTGTAGATGGATAGTGTTTCCAGCTTTACATGTGAGATTTTTCAAATTTGTGTATCATTCCTCATGATTACTGTGTCAATACATAAAGTTGACTATGTGTAGTTGGTGTATGTGGTTAAGTTAATATGTCAAATTTAACCAGCAATGATATATTACACTAGTCATTTAATGCACGATTACAGTCGATGTTGATTCGTTAGTAATTAATTTTCCACATGGCGGGAATTATGTGAAAATGGGGAAGTGATACTATTTGTATTGAGTATCTGATAAATGAATTGATGGTTGGTTATCATTTTCCTGGTTGTGTTTGGTTATACTTCTGTGTCAGTTGTTAGGGGTGTTCCAATTTCCTCTTCAAAAACAACCATATTTAAGGATATAGACTTCATTATATGGTTTTAGACAGAGCTTTATCTTTAAGACTATCTTACTTCAGGTTTCAGGACAGTTTAAACTGTTTATAGAACGTTATGCTAATTTTAATACTATATCCTGAATTTTACAATCTAAAGTCCTACACTTTGTAAAGTCGATCAAAGTCTTGGACAGTCAGTGGCGTCTCCTTTTAAGCATATAAATGCCTGTACCAGGAGGCGCCGCTCTTTTATATCATACAAGTGTAACACGTTACAATACGGACATACGGTATTGTATGTCAATATTCGTCTAAAGTTGATTCCTGGTGGCGTTGGAGTGTGAGCCTCGACTTGATTGCCAGTCGGTCCTTTAAACCCGGTAACTAGTTGACAGTGCATGTATCTGAGGTAACTGGTGTATGGGGCCAGGTGTATATGCAAGTTACCTTCATAAAGAAGAGCCAAGTTTCTCTTCAAATGTGTAAACTAAAATTTCAGGACTATGAAAGCGGCAAAAATGATTTAACTTTAAATTTAATCCAGTGGATGCAGGTGGCGAGTCGTCGTTCGACGTGGAGGATCAAGGAGGAGGCCTTTGTCCAGCAGTGGACGTCTTTCGGCTGTTTAACATGATGATGATGTAGTTGTGTCAGTTGTAACTCCACTACTGTTGCATCCATGGGCGGTGCCCAGTACTTACTACCTGGTGCTCCGGCGCAAGGTTTGCTGCATTATGACATAAATAAGTATCGTTTCCGTTCACAAATGTTCGTGTTTACCTTATAGTACTAGCTATGTTTAGGTTTTTAAACAATTTAGATTTATTTTAATTAAGTAAAATGTGCGTAGGATGTTCATGTGAACATTTTGACGTTAGTGCTTACAATCTCTTTATTTTATTAAAAGAAGGTGTAGGTACCGCAGACAAATATTTAGGTTAAGTGAGATGCTCGCTCACCCATACAACGATAATTACTGCACCAAATGCAAAGCAATGGAAGCGCAGGCGCATGCGCACGCGCTCTTTGAATAGCAGCGGTAGCGGGCGCCGGGCGATACATTCTCACCTGTCATTACCGAACATAATGCTTCCACCGGCAGACCGTCACTTTAACGGCACGCTGCGTAAGCGATGACGCGACGCTTATCAGCGGTTATCACCCCGCGAGCCTCGCACCTCGTGCCTGCGTCCAGTCGCGCGTCCACGCTTGTCTCAAGCGCACGTCGCTCCGCGCATCGCTTGATCCGCTCCGCTCGCTCCCGAAGCCACACGACGATACCCGTAAGTGTCAACCCTACAGCACTCCGTTCCCCAAGCGCGGCCCTGCGCCCTGGCAGCCTGTCGAGCGGTGCAGCCCCGCCACACGCGGTTCTGCAAAGTTTTGTGTTACCTTATATTGTTTGTAGACTATTAGTCGTCGTGACCGTGCTCTTAGGCCACATTTTTTGGGAAAAATTGTAACATTTTTTTTTACAATTACGTGAGTCACTGGTAGCGTAGCAAGGCCGCATCATCCCAAAACAAATTTGTCGGTCTTAGTGTATCAGGTCGGATATTCTTATCGCGTTAGATGCCTCTGGTCGAATGCGCTATCGTTTACCGTGAAATCCGTTGTTTTTCGTCACAATTTCGTAAATGTCAAATATTGGCAGTGTCAGAACCGTGTAGCGGAGGAGAGTATGCTCTTCTGTGAAGCGGTAGCCTCCGCCTGTCAGGCTGTCACACAATATTTGCTCGCGATGACGTAACGGGTGAGTGCAGCCTCTTGCATGCAGTGAGATGTCGCCGACATGTTGGGTGGCCTCCACTCTCCCAGGGCCAGGGATTTTCGTGACATAAACGTGTGTGTGCGATACGGCGAGCCTCGGTATACTGTGCTAAATGTTTGCTGGTACTAGCTACATATACAACACACGACACTGAGATGATTCTCACGCTTACGGAAATCCTATTATATATTAGTTTTATATAACTGTTGTCTTTACACGTAGTGCTCCATAGTGCGAGGCTAATATGTCGTTTAAAATCGTATTTGAAGAGATTTTCGCGAATTGTCTTAGGTTAGAGGTAACCGCAGTGCAGGCTGTCGTTGCACCACTAATAGTGATAGTAATGGTCTATTGTGTTCACTATTTATTAGTTTGTAGTGTTCCGCTCGCGGATGTCCACACGCTACTGGAAAAGTTTCACTTATGAATACCGGCGCACGAGTCCGCGGGAATTCAATATTCCTTAGATTGCATAAAACTTGTGTCACGGAAGATGTGTCAGGCGGTAGAGCAGTATCTACAATCAGTCTGTTAATACCTGGTTATGAGGCATTTGTTCGGTAGCAATGAACATTGAAAACTGATTAAATAAAATGTATCGTGTGACAACTAAAGAGCCTTGTTTACATACAAATGTAAACAAACAAACAGATTACAACCAGTCTTACATGTAATCGTGTGATGACGGTGAAGCCGAGAGTGCGGGGTGGGAGCAGGTACATCGCCTGGTGGGGCAGTGGAGGGGGCAAGGTCCATTCTTTTACGATTTGCTCACTAGAACAGCTGTTTTTGTAACAATTAAAAAGTTATGTTCAGTAATTAACCGATTTATTCTTCGACGCTACATGTCAGCCACCACTCACCATTCGTTCCATAAAAAGTTTTTATGTAGCAATCTCATTCGCTGAATGAATATTTGGGATCCCAAATACACAACCAAATGCACAAACGCATTGCAGTGCGGGGAAAGAGATTCAATATTTTCATACGCTTTGCTCAGCTTTTGAGAATGCTTTCCTCCGCGTATATTGTTTTCAGGTTTTCCATAGGTTTTGTGGCCACTGCATTGGGCTTGGATACGGCGGTACACCATTGGAGGGACTATTTTACATTAAAAGTCAGGATAATGTTAAGAAAATATCCTTAGCTGATTACCTGAAACGAATTTTTCGCTCATCTGTTCCTAAAAATAATTTTACTATTATTACGCTGTAATATAATATGTAATTATGATTGAATATGTATTAGACACATTATAAATAAGTAAGTTTGTAAATTGTTCATTTAATACACATTAATGTTAAACACATATGTAGTTGCTAGTTCAAATTGAAAATATTATCTCGTTACATATTCTATATTGCAAGAACTCATATTTTGTAGAACGTATCCTTAGCATTCTGCGCATATAATTATTTCAAAAAATATTGGTGAATTGTTTGGTAGTAATCCATTGTTTCTAGAAGATACTATGTTCAATTAGCTAAATATGACATCACAGAACTAATTCTATGACTAGTGCTTGATAAAGACGTTGCCAATGATATCCCATTTGCTGAATTATGATAAGTTGATTAGAAGGCAAATTGTGAAGGATCAATAGAATATAAACAAAGGTACAAATTAAATTGTCACTAATTAGTTAGGATTATCTATTGATACGACGACGAGACGACTATTTTTAAGAAAAAGTCGGTGTTCTTTAATCTTTCAACAGGTTTTGAACAATAATATAATTAGTTGTTACGTTGAAATGGCGCTAGTTAAACTGTATAAGTCGGCGGCCAATCAGAATAGCTCTTTATCTGGATTAGTTTATGAGCCGATAATATTAGGTAGTTGTAGTGATAATGGATTACTGATGGACATACATCTTCCAGCTACCTGATAAGCAGTGTGTGTTCCTCGGCCGTGGACGGTTGGGTCGCGCGCCGCTACTGCACAACTATTTCTAATATGTCGTGCATTTCTGTGTGTCTGGAATTTTAGAACTATGTATGTCCAAAAGAATTCTGCCATGCAATTTCATAGTGCTGAAATAAAATAATTCTATGATTCTCTGTTAAAGTATATCGCAAATGGTGCAAAGATTTGATTTTCCAGAGATAGCTAATAGGTTTTTCTATTATGCGTTTTCAGTTAAAGAAGTGTGGCCATTATCGAAATTAGGATGTCTTACAAAGTGCAATTAAACGTGTAAAGGGTGCTGCTTATCATTGGTCTGAACCACAGATATAATAAAGAAGGTCTGAACATTTTAGTTGGTTGTCTAAAACTGATGTGTGAAACTATAAGGTAGTACTTGAAGTTATCTCAGTAATGGGATCGTGTAGTATTAAAACACGAAGTAGATAGTTATTGATAAGGCTTGCTGCTTGCTCTGCCAGGCGAGAATGGCTCGTCATCGTGTACATCTTGATGTATGATAGCGTATCAGTAGGTAATGCCAGCGAAATCGGTGTCGGCTTGTAACTGTTTCAACTTATCTGTAACTGCGGTTTGATGGTATTGCTCATCACTTCCACTCGGTACATATCTATCTGTATTTGTGTACGTAACACTCCATAATGTATTATTGTACACTTTTATATCTTGAGAAGGTCATTGCTTTTGTTGTCAACTAGTTCTTTATCAGTGTAGTACATAGATGACTAGGTGTTTTAGGGCGAAATATTAGCGTTCGGTTCATTATCAGGTAGGTACCTGAAGTATTGCTGAGTGTTTCTATTTTTCTTTTCATTAGGAAAAGCTTGTATGTCATCTCTGCCTTTTTAAAAGTCTATGATTTAAGTTCAGAATGCTGGTCTTACTTTAAAATATACAATTATTATTGTGCACTGCACGTCTTGTATTCCCCCTATTATCTCAGGTAATACGATATTATTAATGTTATTTTGCTTTTAAAGAAAATGCGATTTTTACATCTTGGTACTTTTTATTTCCATACGGTCGCGTCGCTTCGTGAACTTTCCTTCAATTTAAAATAGCATTCTATATTTTATCGTTAGAGCTACATACATTTGAGACTAGTCTCCGCATCGTGCCCTTTTTAGATAGTATATTAAGGCTCGCGTTACAGGCTATATATTCCACTCTCTAGTATAAATCATCTTTATGAATGTTGTTCGCCATTTATACGCAAAGTTTTATTCTCGTTATGTATTTCTTAGTCTCGTTATAAGATACCAGTTCGTATTTTCTAAAATGTCAGTTTATAACAAATATATCTTTATGTTTAGCTATCTCTTCACTTTGTCTAAAGCCTGATGAATGGAATTACTTTGATTGGGTGGAACTTTCCGGAAAGCAGATCCTATTAAGTATTAACTACCAGATCTGTTTTGTCATCTTAATCTATTCACCCATTAAATAGATTATTGAAATATCGCAGCGATGTGTCGCTACACATGATACAGTAGGACAGTTTTGTTAACACACAAGTGAACAAAAAGTACGCGCTCATTGTGCGTCACAGTTACAAAGGAGCAAACTCCATAGTTACATAGCCGTCGGAGTGACAGGCCAGGCCAGGCCCTGGCATGTACTGGCATGTACTGGCATGTACTGGCATGTACTGGCAACTACTGGCAGGCAGGACAGACACAGTACGACAGTGTTGTCAAATATTTTGGTTGTGTTAGCCGTGGCGAATACATAGTAACGCGACACAAAACACATTGTGTGGACACAAGCGTGTAGGACGCAGCCTTCACGCTTGTGTCACCAAAGGATTAGGCAGAGGTGCATTGTCGTACACCCGCAGTCATCTGACGGCAACGTATTATGTGGCCGCCGGTGGACGCTCACAATGCTTTTGTTAGTTTATCACTCGGATCAAATCGATTTACAAGAACATTGACTAATTACGTACCGAGCGACTATTTTTGGAACAAACCATTTGACTAATGTTCCAATAACTACAACATAATTAGCGTTTTATGATACGATAGATTACGATTGCGTTGGAACATCTTGTCGGTTGCGATAATCATAATGAAATCAAATAAAATATTGTATTACAGGAAATATTTTGATACATTTATGTTGGGTGCGTCGTGCAACCTCTGGGTAATGAACGTCTCGCCGTGAATACTTAACAAAAATCTGGTAAATATGTACGCACGATACCTCGGGCGACGTATTAGCATATTGTACGCAGAGTCCCGGGACGTATAGACGTACAGCGGCGGCACAATAATATGTCTCTCCCCGGGGGGAACACTTCACGCAACGTTCTGTAAATCTTTACAATTTAGGGACTTGGACATTTTTGTCTTGATTAAGTTTTTGTTCCGTCCCCGAGGGCCGCCTCGTCATGCGATCCGACGGCGCTGCTGTAACTACTGACTTCCATCCAGCTCCGGACGTGACGGTGGCAGGGTCATTGTGTCCCTCTGGTCTCCGTCCACTACACATTCATAATTGGAGGAATCAATCGATCGACACGACTACTGTGTCTGTTGATGAACAGTTAATTAGGTCATCGCTGTTCAATACTTCCATTGCTTGATA